GAGTCGCGGAGAACCTAACGGGTAACCGGGGCTCCGGCTCGACGTGCAGGAGAAGGAACGGGGTGGTTTTTAGTCAGTAAGAGTCTGACACTCCCTCCCGCCTCACCCAGGCGGGGGCAGTCATTCGATGATTTTCCCCACTTAAAAAAAAAAAAAAAAAAAAAAACCCAGACCCAAAACAACAATTTGTGGATTACACAAAGAATTGTTCCATGCGGGAATAGGACCCGCGACACGTTGCGCGGAAGCCGGTTGTCAAACAGTCGTAGTAGTCGTAGTCTGTGCAGGCTTTGAAAAGCTACTTAAGAAATAAAGAAAATAAGTGTATGAAGTAGGATGAATTAAGTATCTCCAGCTTTGATAATATGCAACAGTACGCAATGACTTCTAATGAAAATATTATTTCTATTCCCAATGTCAAACTAAGCAAGGGAAACGATTAACTAGTAAATATTATAGTCACACAATTACTGGCTCAAAATCGAAAACCCAATTAAACTTTCGGACGTCGTGCTTGGCAGTTGCAGTACTCAACTAAACTCATTTACTACCTCAGTAGTTCAATTTCAATACAAACATTTCACTGGCATACATTATCTAAAATATCATAGACTACCTACTTCCGCGCGTTTTCACACGCTCTGCTCAGCTCCTATTGGTCGTAGCGTGATGTTTTATAGTCTATAGCCATCTTCGATAAATACGCTATCCAACACAAAAGGAATTATTCAAATCAGACTTTTAGTTACGGAGATTAGCGCGTTCAAACAAACAAACAAAAAAACAAACTCTTCTGCTTTATATTATAGTATAAGTATAAAAAAAAAAATACTTATCATAAATTTTCTTTACCACAATAGTGACAAAAACATCGAAGTAAAACATTTAATTAAAAATAAAATGTATATTAGTTACATGCACTTTAGTCTCCTATTAATTTGTCCGTGTAACACTATAAATTACAAAGATAATTGCCAGTCAACGGAGACATCTATTGTTCTAAAGCGTTCATATATCATCTCAGTCACGAGCAAAAACTAAACTATTCTATACGTATGGTCATATATTATATCAGTTTTTCTCCAAAGAGGTTGATATAGAGAGGTAGGAGCATTTAACAGTCCTATTATTAGTCCCACGGGACTATAGGAGTTAATGTTCTGCCGATCATATGAATCATTATTTAAGATTTAGTGACACTTACAGCCGATTCTACAGTTACCAAAAATTTAACGAAAATACGGTTCATAACTTGTAGGCCAGTGTTTGACTACCAGAACAAAATTTGACACTGTTAAAAAAAAATGCTTCATGTATACCCAATGTCCCAAAAAGTATATTATGATGCGTGAAAGATCGACTGTTGAGGATGTCTGCTAGACTAAAACATGGTTGACTGCTTGACTGATGGAATTGTTTCATAAAAGAGAAATGCTGACTATAAAGACCAACGCCATATCGTGACTACAAGAGACCTTATTAGCAACATACCCTTTGTTCCTCCACCAATCAGTGTAATGTGTCAACCCAATTAGTAGAGAATACAATGCTCCCATAACTTCCCAAATTATACTTAAACAGTAACTATTTGAGTCTATAAAAGCGAGAAAATCCTTGAGTTTGACTCCCAGCTACATTTTCCCGCGTACTTACGTCAATCGTTTAAGTGTGTGTGCGAGCGAAACAGACAGAGAAATTTGTTTATGCCAGAGCGAGGCGGAGGGTCAAAGCCTTTTCATAGAGTACGCGCCATTTTTGTCAGTTTTGTGCCTAAATGAAGTTTGCCTCTGTGAGGAAATTAATTAATCTTTTTCTTTTTACAGGTGTTATTACGGATTGTGTTCAAAAGATGACAATGTAAGTATAGAATAAGTATGTTTTTAAAAATAATAAAATAAGAGTACTTTTTACTAACAATAAGTTATTTGGTTTTTTGTGAAGGTTCCCTGAACAATTTAAAAAAGACATTTTATTTATTTATTTAATTTTATTGATATCAAAAAAGTTTATAATGCAAGTCATAACTCAAACTGATACTCCAATGCCACGGAAATAAACAGCGACGTTACAAACCATTACCTACCACAAATAACCCGCTGTATTTTATCGTTTCAACTATAAATCAAACAAACTGCGACTATAAATAGGAAAAACATCAGCATTGCATACCTATTAAAGACTAATTACTAAAGATTTTACGTTTAATTAAGACCAACACGGGAGAATAACGATCTAATGATCGCTCGTAAACATAATTTATAATCCATTGTTTGGCTCCTAAGAACGAAAATGGCTTAACAAAATAATTTGTTTATATCAACAAGTTTATTGACTTACGCCTTTTTTACGTCGCACCATAAAAGTCGTTAGAAATTATTTTAATTAAAAAAGTCGATCGGCTCGTTTTTCTTGGCTTTTATTAAGTTAACAGATTTTATGGTCTGGTATTTTAGAGCTGAAATAAATAGAACTACAGGCACATGTTTATATTTTGTAAAATTTAAACTTAATTATAGTTGATGTTAAATACTGCTTAACTTAAAGCAGCGAGAGAGAGACAGACAGTCAATAACTAATTTATCAGATACTGTATGTATTTATCAACGACAATAAAAAGTAGATTTTGCATTACTATTAAATAAAATCAAGAAGACATTAATAAAAAAAAATATTACCTTAGTCAATTCCTTTATCATTAGCAAGGTAAAATATCAATAATTTGCGTGTCGAGTCTGCGAATATCTCACTCATGCTCTATGGTATCAGTCTGTAGGGCCAGTCTGTGTCGACGCGCCTCAGAGGGCGCATTCATTCGCTGAAAATCTGAAAATGCGATGAAAATACGTTAAAATATTGTTCATTTTGTGCAACTGTGTTGTGCTATAGCCGTGGATATATTTTTATTTAGGTAAGTTCGTTACTTATATTTTTTTCATTCAGTATTTAATGAAATTTTCATCATAGATTATTCCTCATTATATTTTATCTCTGAAACTTGAATCGAGTGTCCTAAAATTAATGAAACGAAATATATTTTTGACGACGGATGAATGCTGGCTATAATATGAACAGAACCTTTTTATTTTAAGGAACGGGATTTATTTGTTTTTTGTTTTTATATCTCCAGTATGTCGGGCAGGGAAATAAAACGGTTTTATTTTTTTTTTCGACAAGTTTATGACGTCACGTAGACATAAAATGGTGTATTATTAAAAAATAAATACGGTAGGTAGCTTGTGCACATAATTTTGTAATTCACAATTTATATTTTCCTTTACAAAACACTGAAAATATGTACCTATAAATACTATCAGGATAAATATTTTTCTATGAAAAGTTTTAACTACATTTAGATTTTAGGGATTATTAGTGCCTATTTGATGATGTTATATTATGTTCCTCAGATTTTATGAAATATGAATAATATGAAAATGGACTAATGGAGATTATGAACTTATCTATTGATACTGACTGCAACGATGAACTTATTTAGCTCCAACTGGCTAGTATCGTTAATATAATAAAACAACGATAAATCTATATGTTAAGCTAAACTCAGATCACATCATTGATTTTGTCGTAGTATAGACACCAAAAATATTCAAATACTATATTTAAATCTATTTCACAGAATTCAAATTAAGATGTTGAAAGTCCTATCATTATTTCGAAGGAAAATGTAAAGCTCTGGGAGTATTTTAGTCATGAAAATTAATCAAATACCTACATGATGAAATGGAATATCTTGTTCGCGTCAATTTAATAAAATCTTTAAATAAAAAGCAACAGCAAACTCCGCATGAAAATTCATCAGCAAAGAGGTAGATAAAGGCTGATCAATGGAGTGTTAAATACCTATTCTAGTAAATATTATTTCCCAAACAATACATAACAGTCGTAACATACTGATCTAATGATCCGGACTAACACACTTACGAAATAAACTTTTCAGGGGTAGCCTTCATTAGGGATTGATTAATTTTGGGGCAACCCTGCTTTGGGTAGTTTTTCGGAAGGCATTTTGCTATAGGGCGCAGTTGCTTTTTGGAGTTAAGTAATTAATATTTTGTAGGGAATTTGTTGTTTAATTATGCTAATGTGTTATATAAGAATGACGATGGATGATGGAGAATTAGATACGCCTTGGACAGTATAGACTATCGTATGGCTATATAGTTGATAGTAATTTAGCAAAATGTACCGATTTTGCCGTTATTTTAAAAGAACAATATTTAGAGCATCTTCTATGCTTTTACAGATACACGATCTTAGGCATCTTTGAAATAAAAGTATTTTAGATGTTGGAAAAAAGGTGATCTTACCAAAAAACCATAAATATATTTTTTCTACTAAGTTACAAACAGACCAAAAATATTTATTAAAGTCATTGAAGTTTAATTTCTTTGCGCAGACAAATAGGGTACATTTTAAAGTTTTATTGTGTACAGAAATAATTTACTTTTATCCACAAGTTGATTGTATTGTGTCGAGATGTTTTAGAGGTAGTTTTATACCATCTGACGCCCGTCGCCCGGTGGGAAATCAAGTTTTATAGCATTAGTTGTTCGTATTGCTCGATGCTATTACCTGGATTCTTACGATACTACATTCTAGTAGTTAATTTATAATAAGGAGATTTTTAATGTTTTGTATTTTGTTTGCAAATATCTGTATCATGCTATATTGTGCTTGATTAAATTATAATAGAACATGTAAGTTTATGTTAGGTCGCTATTCATCATGAGATGCTGAGTTGAGATGTGTTTGATGACTTGGTTGACTTTTGTGAGACATACTATATTAATTATTATGTTTTCGGCCAATAGCATAGCGCGACAGTCACCCCGTCGCTTGTTGCGGAATGTTGCTCATAAATATGAGCCTCTATGGCATGGCTATGTTCTAGCATGGCTTAGAACTAGTCGAGTTCCTCGCCAAACAGTTACGTGAGTAAGCCGAGAACATAATAATTAATATCTTAGGCAATAATGATAAAATAATGGCAAAAGTCAATAATGACTGTCGTAGTGGCCCTGAGGTTTAAGACGCCCGCTTCTCATGCATGAGGGTGCTGGTTCGAAACCTACCAACGCCAAGTAGCTACCAATGTGACTTTTTCCGAGTTATATGTACTTTTTAAGATTAATCAGACTAGCCACTGACAAGACGGTGAAGGAAAACATCGTGAGGAAACCTAGGCTTATAATATCTAATTATAAGTTTGAAATCACCAACCCACATTGAGCAAGCGTGGTGATTAATGCTCAAACCTTCTCCGTATGAGAAGAGGCTTTGCTCAGCAGTGGGCATTTATAGGCTGTTGATGACGATGATGATGATGAATGGCAAACGCAAGAAATTTTGTATAAGCCAAAGGTAACAAAGTATCATTTATTTTCTAAAAAAGGGATAACTATATGAAATATCAATAATATTTATTTGTTCAGCAGCTTACCCAAAGGATATAGGGGTCAAAAATAACATAATTTTAAGTGTGATACATAATAATACTTCCAGTTATAATGTATACGTTCCAGTTAAAATCGTTAATTTTATATCCAAAGTAATAAGGATCCATTACAATATCCTGCGTTAAACATTTTATTATTATTATATTGCACGTATGACGTCAGTAACACATTCGATTTCTCACGGTCCGAATCGTTGAGATTTTATTGTATTACCTGTACCTTTATATTAATATTTATATCCATATATTTATTTAAGTTCTCTAAAAATACATGTTAAATTCTACTTATAAATAAAAATAACATGTTTAAAAACTAGCTAACCCAACAAACTTCGTACCGCCACAAACATTATTTTCTCACCTTTTAAACCTTACCTGAACTTCCACAAATAATTAAAGGCCAAAATTTGCCAAATGGGTCCAGCCGTTCTCGAGTTTAAGCGAGACTAACGAACGGAATTTGATTTTTATATATAGAGAAACAAATTAGGAGCCGTAGCGGGAGTATAGTCCAAGCTATCGGTGGTTAGGGCTCCAAAGATCGAAACCTGCTCACGATACGTGCCGTTTCTAGGAGAACTGCTTTCTGTATAAGGCCCTTGATCCACCCACCTATCGCTAGCCTCCTAAGATGGAGTCGAGGAGTTTAGGGATTTATACAATTATTACCGGTTTTTAATAATATAACTTAACATCACACCTTTTATCCTCGAAGGGGTAGGCAGAGGTACACATTATGGCACTGTACAATGTAACACCCACTTTTCACTATTTATGTTATGAGTCTGACTGACTCTGTAATGCTTTGCTCGACCCGGGAATCATTGAACCCGAGACCTCTTGCCCGGCAATCGCACTCGCGAGCACTCGGCCAATGAGTTAGTCTTTAATATTACACTTAATATAATAACCTCTCTAGAACTTCACATTAACCGAGGTATTATGTTCGCTCTTTGGCATTAAAATCATCTGTCTAACATTGAGGCAGTCCCAGTAAGTTATTATACAATACTTGTGTTGGGCCTGACTAGCTCCTTCCTTTATTTATTTAACACTCTTAAGAATAATAGCTTCCAGATGTGGGATTCAGTTTCATATACCGTTTTCTGTTGGACACAATATGTAGGTCACGATAGAATACCTACCGCTAAGGTCGAAATACAGCTATTTATATGTGATATTATCACATATTTAACAAAAAGACGTTATTTAAAAAAGGTTGTTTCAGTTTTGTAGATCATAGCATAGCATACATTTAAAACTAACGAACATTAGTATAATTTTGGTTGAATTCAGACGATATTATAAAAAGTAAATGATATTTTCTGCGTAACCACAACATTGCTAAAATAAAATAAAATTAATATCAAAGAGTTACTACAGTATTAGGGACTATTTAGAAGATAAGTCGATAGCATCTGTATATAGTAATTTTAATAATAAATTTGCGCGCCATATATGGCAGGAAAAAATGCACTGTAACAACTTTTGAGCCGTATTTTAGCAAAAAAACATTTTTGAAATGATTTGATTTGATTTAAATTAGAAAGAGGAAAGTACCAAACATATTTATGATGCCCTTTGAAACTACTCAACTTAATCTAATGCAATTCGGCCTAAGGGTAGCACAACCCAAAACATACGGTAACCCAGTACCAAGTACCCTTTGATAGAGGAAAATTAAAACTTATCCCGGGGGCGATCATTTCAAGTATTTAACGAAATGCGTTGTACGTGGAAGGATTTCAAAGCACTTACTATGCCCTTTTTAGAAGAAAACCTTCAATGTAATAGATACTTGAGGAGGAATTCAATTTTCCGCCCAACTTGGGAATATTTTGATGAATCATCGCGTTTCCAGTTCCATGTGAATATTGGATGGCATAAGATGAGATTGTTTCTTTTCAATCTCATAACTCGATTGGGATGAGCTGATCATGTTGTTTTTGAATCGTATGGATGAGATTTTGGTTTTTAGTATTGAGTTGCGTTTTTCTGAGATATGATGTGGCGACTGCCGAGCAAGGGCACTCAAGTTCAAATCACTGATTTAAAATATTCTCGTAGTAGCATGGAGTCAAAAATTTTGCACCCTGTACCTATGGCAAACGCAACGGTTCGTCTGTTTGTTCACCGGCTTATCCCGTAAATATAGTCAAATCTTTTAATCACCGAAAAGATAAGCAAAGTTTCACATATGCAATATAACTTCTACTTTTGACCAGCTTTGTCATAAGTTCCTTATAATAGAGCAACCTATAATTCGACAATTATAATAGCAACTATCGAAAGAGACAGTCGTATAAATAAATTAACGCTCTCAAACATAATGACCAATTGTAGTGTGAAGTTCAATGAACTGAGGGTGCCTGATATTTTACGGTGAAACTATTGATTGTCATTCTTATCTAGTAATTATACAACTACAATTGGGTACT